AACATGCGAGGTCGATGCGAGCGTGGAAGAGTCTGGGAAAGGGGTAGTTGTTCCGCTCCCCCCATATCATTGTGTTTTTAATCCAATCGGGTTGATGGGGAAAGAGGTGAAGAGGAAGTTGACAAATCAAATCCCTTCGAAGGATAATGAATCAATGGAATTGATCAGGAAAGTCATTGCCGATATCTATCCACAGCACTGGCTCAAGATTGTGAGAGAGGAAGAGAAGTACTCTCGAGGAATTGAACTACATGATGAAAAAGATAGTGATTTCTCTTGCGGAAAGCTCTAGTGACAGTGATATTGAGTCCAGTATGGAGCGAAAAATTCTTTAGTGGACGCGTATGAGGATAAGGTAATGAGACACGAATTCTTCTGGTGAACTGACTATTTGGATGAAAATTTGGAAGATCTCTCTTTCTTTCGTGTCTACTCTTATGAAAAAAAAAAGTGCTCGACAACTCAATCTTCCTCATTAGAGAGAATACCGCGTAGATCGACTGTAAAAGGTCTGAGGGAACACACAATACTTATGTTCGACTATTTTGCTTGTGTATACTTGTGTCAGAGTGTGGTGCACGGCAATACCTTCTAAAATGCTTACCACTGTATCAGGGCCGGATTAAGGGGGGGGGGCAAAAGGGGTAGTTGTCCCGGGCCCCGCTCTTCCAGGGGCCCCCGAAGGAAATTGGAAACGTTAAGTTAAAAAAGTTTTGCATTTGCGTAAAGTGTAAAGGGGGGAGGGGGGAGCCCCAGGAATTCACTTGCCCCGGGCCTCGCAACTTCTTAATCCGGCCCTGCCCTGCATGCCTTCCAAACCTCTGAGGACCATCAACTTCTGGTTGATGTTGTGGAGTCCTCCTCGAGCCCCGCAGGGAATAACGTAACAATTACAGAGGGAAGAACCTCCTCCCTTCCTACGCTCATGTAAGAGCCTACGTCCGACTTTCCCCGAGCACTCCCTCGGCAGTGGGTCGTCAAGAGCCATCGTAAGTGGACGCACGGACGGTGTCCGTGAAGCCTTGCCGAGCCCGCACGCATCTGCCGCACAGGACAGTGCGGACTACTCAGGAACCGTGGTGACGGTGGTCCCCCACCGGACAACTAGGACGAGGACGACCCTGAGGTCCCCCAATCAGCGTGACGCTGTTCATTTTTACTAACCTCATCCACTTATCCCTGTTGTTTTATTATACAAGGCAGGTTCAAAAAGTTCCGAGACTGGTTTTATTGCACGCACACGGTGAGCGTTATGGCACTGTTGTGTCACCTTCAAAGTAGTGACCCTGGCTTTCCGTACCCTTTTGCCAACGTCTGTAAAGTTCCTCGAAACAGAACTGGAACCCATTTTTAGTGACCCCGTTCAGTGCCGCCACCGTAGCTCCTTCATCTCTACTGCGGAGGAAGAACGACGTCTCTTCAGACGCTTCCTCATTCTTGAGAAAAGGTGAAAGTCGTATGGTGAAAGGTCCGGGGAGTAGGGGAATGTGGTAGTAAGACTGTGCCAGTGTCTGTCAAGTAAGGGCTCGCCATCAGCGATTTGCACGCTAGTGCGTTGTGAAGGTGGATTCAATTCTTGTCTGCCCACATTGGTGGTCGTTTCCTCCGGGTTGCTTCTCGGAGACGCGGCGGCACATCTCCGTAAATCTCTTTATTCACCGTTCTTCCCTCCGGAATGAACTCACGATGGACAATACCCTCGTGGTCGAAGAACACCTCCAACATCACCTTCCAGGGACTAACGGCCTTCTCGGAATCGTCGATGCCACTCAAACACACGAGAGCCTGAGATTGTCTTGTCCCCATACGCCTGTCTTAGCATTCCAAAGGTCTCTGCGGCCGTTTTACACAGTCTCTGGCAAAATTTCACATTAGCACGCTTTTCGAAACGTGACATCTTCGCAAGGTGAATGCAGACCGCCGACAGACAGCTGAAGAGTTGCACGTGGAGCAACCCAGTCATTGCCACGTGAGGTTAAGCCCATGTGCCCTTGATATGCACGTAGTGTGGAACCCTAACTACGCTCAGCAAAATTTATTTTGGCATAGAACGCACCGTTCGGTCACGGTGACACGAGTCTCGAAACTTTTTGAACCTAGTAGTATAATAAACTGTGCGCAGTGTCCAATTGCGCACCTATTTATATAAACCCGGAGTCCTAATTAATTCAGAGGAGTCTACACTTTGGAATCAGTCGATAACAGATCGACGGGTATTCTTCTGCCGATCACAGAGGTCTCTCTTACGAACCTCTCCGAACATCGCAACCTTCCTGATACCGTCCGATTAGCCTCACACCCCCCTCCGGGTGCGGAACGAACCATTGAGGCCCCGACCTACGTCCACACCCCCTACAGTATTTAATTGTACTTCATGTGTGACTTATTTTTACAACCATACCATTCCCTGTAGATTCGCAGGGAAGTGAGCGATCGTGAGAGAAATGTGGAGATGTCGCTTTGGTCCGCGTGTGGGAGACTGGAGGGCGGAATCTTGGGTGGGAAATGGCGCTCAACATGTGCTGCCTCTCCATATCTGGTACCGCTGCCTCCACGGTCCTTCGTTACCTCTGCTTCGATTTTCTTATAATACTCTCAGCAAGATAACCGTCTCACACTCTCATCTTTAAGCTATAGACTGTGGTTGCACTTTTTCATTTGTGGAAAGTAACGTTGGAATCAACGTTAGGGGATGGGAGCGTAGGTAGGTGTAGGCCTAACCGCTAGAGAATTGTTAGATATGTATGCTTCCTAAAGCTGACATGTCTTATCCAATCCGTACACAGTTTGCAGTCGGAATGCATAAGTCTGCGGTAAGACTAGAATCAAGAATAGAGATCTAGATATGACGAAAGTTTAACATGGTCCCAATCCTACACCTTTGAAAGGATTTGATGCAATTTCAGCTTGACTCGATGGGATTCACCACGGAAAAATCATAGGCCTAGGCAGATACTGAGTCAATTTAAAAATACGGTCTAAGAAGTTAGTGCAGACACTGTGGTCAATGTGAACTCACCCAAGGCCTATGCCTAATGTAGCGCTTGGCTGAACTTGTAATATCCTAGGCCTTTGCTTGGCTGGTTCATGATAGGTAGCATAGCTACTGAAATGATCAAGTATGAGCAATAACAACAAGTCGCAAAGATGTCCACCTTGAAAGCTCTTCAGGTTTCTTCTGACTCTTACCAAAAATACCATGTGTTGCTATCCTATCAAATCCCAAGGGATAGGTCTTGAAGATTTCAGACCAAAGTAAAAATTGCAGTCACCTCATTCTCTCCCCTTGGTGTGCAAGCCTACAATGCCATCACCAGCACAAGCAAAAGTCATTCTGACTTATGATGGCTCAAATTAGCTCTTTCTTATCCTATGTGAGCATGTTCTTTCATATAATCTTCAGATGTTTTGTTAATGTTTTTACACGTTTCACCTTATGTAATTAGACATGTCTCAATTTTCATTCTTACAGAGATCAAGACAGAAATCTCATTCTGCATTGAGCAGGGCAGAAAGGAATGAGGTGAAGTCAAATTTTTGTAGTTTGTACATCAATACTCACAGCACCATTCATGTGACAAATAGCCATGGTGCCTGATCAGCATGAGCAGGCTTATTGAATTTCTACATCTCTTTTGGCTCAGGATGAATATGATGAATGGAGGATGATTTGGGCTTGTGGCAAATAGCCTCATGATGGCATAGTTTAGGAAATGCATGAAGATTGTGGATTGGTTCAAAACAAATCCTGCAATTAGCCTTTTTGCACTTGTTCCATGAAAGCCTTGTGACTCAAAAGAGTTTTCTCTATCAAGATCTATCTTTCTTTCAGACAATATTAAGGGAAAACATTGTATGCATGGAAAGTGTTGAAAGACGTGGAAGTTAAAGGTGAAGTAAGCAGCAGAAAATAGAAAATAGGCACAGCGCATCTAAATGGTGTGGCAATACACATGAATGAAATGAAGAGTGTAAAAGAAGGCAATTTTAGAAATACGGATAGCAAGTTTTTAGGCTTCCATGATCGAACAAGAAGAGGAAAATAAAATTTCATTGTTATTATTCCTTGATCAGAAAAATTTTCAGTGATGCTTTGATCCTTTTTTTCTTCTTGATTTGTTGATCACGAAAATACAGAGGTAGAGTGTTATAGGCTCTCTTATTGAAGTCTGTATTGCAGAGTAATATGTATGATAAGTTCTTGTAGTAATAGGAATCACCCTATTGTTTATGGAAAATCTTGTATAATAATTTTGTTTGTATGCTAGAGGTATTTTGTATTATTTAATCGTAATTTTTTAGATGCTTGAAGAGACTGTGAAAATGTTGTCATTTGAGCTATTGGTGGAATTTCTCAAATTTTTATATATTCCTTTGTACTTTTTCCCTCCCTCCCCCTCAAGATTTTTTTTTGTCTTGAAAGCGTACCATTCAACTATATACCATATTCCCCAGTACAGTAATTTTGCTGGCCTCCTTTGTGTGTTGATGTAACTTTTCCAATCTTCAGGCTTTTTTGGGAATTTCCTTGGAATGGAAGTTGCTGGTGCCCTGGCATCTTTGGTATAATTGATTAAATTAATGTCTTGCCCTGTTCGTTGGGACCATTGCCATTGCATTGTTAGATACCATTCATTGGATATCAGTAGGTAGCTATTCTACTTAGTTTTTCTTTCAGCTATCCAGAGTAGACTGTAATTAGAACCAAGGGTCAAGAGTGAAGGAATTTCTGAGATAATATTCCCTTCCTGATGTCCTAGATATATTTTGACTCCTGGAGATTTCAGATTCAATAGGGCCAGACATCTTCCAATGGACAGATTTCAATTTCTACTCCTTAAGGATCATGGAAGTTTGTGTTTTTTTACATTTTTACATTTTTCATTAATTACATGCAGATGTTAATATCAGCTGATACAAAGGAATCAGAATTAATACTGTAATTGATTGGTGATACCCAGATAGGTTCATCCCTAATCATCATATCCTTGTTTTCAAACTTTTCACTCCTTATAATAAAGTGCAATTATCTAGGTTCTTGTTGTCAGTTTCATTCATCTTTGTAACTAGCCTATGACCAGGAGTTCTAGATGTCTCTCAATCAAAACTACTGAAAGGCATGAATGTGTAGGCCTTCTACAGTGATCATAAGGCGTGGAGCAGTTTGTTTTTGTTTAGGGCATGCATGGACCAGACAAATGGCATGGATCAGAAAGTGAGAATAATAAGCCCTATGTTTCACAATCTATGTTGTGTAATGATCTTGTGTTTGTAGCACTGTATGGACAACACCCTTGCTTTCTGACAGCTTCTATACAAACCTCTGCTTAGCAACTATCCCTATATATAGACATACTTCCTGCCACAATGCTAGATAGATTGGGCTAGGTTGACACATTATCTTTGCAGAAGAGCCTATATCCCTGTCATGGGGACCCTTTACTAAGCTTCCTGCACTCTGTGACCCACAGGGCACAGAGTGCAGAAAGCTAAGTAAAGGGTCAGGAAAGGGTGGACCAGAAAGAATGGAGACATTCATTTCACTTTGATTTTATTGAAACAACAAGGAGTTCAAATTCATCATGGATATGATAACCCACAATTCATAGTTCACTCAAAGAAAAAATCAATGTGCCCCCCTTGGTTGTCTACCACACTTTACAAATGTGGGAGTTGCTGCCTAATTGCTTTTATGAAAAACTGGATAGTGATGTTGACCCATTTGTAGCGTATGAGGTCCTTGAAATGTCCCTTGCTTTTATGAAAAACTGGATAGTGATGTTTACCCATTTATAGCGTATGAGGTCCTTGAAATGTCCCTAATCCTATAATGTTGATAGACTCTTTGCAATTTTCTCCATACTGCATAATCTATCATATCAAACAGATCAAGGTTCAGGCTATGCAGGGGGCACATTTTTGATTCAGTGAAGTCATTTGTTTTCTCATTGAGCAACTTCTCTGTTGCTGCAGATCTATGAGAAGGTGTTTCATCATGTTGCAAGGTAATTCTTTCCTTCCTTGGCTCTAATATCAGGTAGTAATCAATTGGCATGGACTTTGCTTAAATAGTAGCCAAAATTGACTTTGAAACCTTTGCTGAAGAGGGAATAACTTGATCAGCATGATGGTGCACTCTCTTAAAGATGTACAACAATTGTGCAGCTCTAAAATTGTGCCACTGCATAGTTCAGACCTCAGTCTGGTATATTACTAGTTCACTGTCTAGGGGAATGGCAAAGAATAAAAGTCTATCATCATCACTGGATCAGGAACATCTAACATCTCAAGGCAAGCATATATGCCACAGACATCACCATCCAATTTTCATTAAATAAATTTAGGAATGACTTCCACATTTACAATGTGTAGTGGATAACCTTGGGGAACCCACTTTGGAACTTGTTGAATGAGCCATGAAATGTTGGCAAGATAAAAGTGCTGTTGGAGGTTGTCCTGACAATGAATAAATGGTGATTAGATGCTTAGATCCTGTAACTTAAGTCAAGTCTGATTTGAGTACCTACCCATCAAAGCCCATCAGAGTAGCTTGCATGAAATATCCTGAATCTGGCATCAATACCCTCTGTTTTATTGTTCCAGAGGAAAGGGGAATGGCCTAGGCTGAAAAGGCTACGATAGCCTCTGCCAAACTCATCTCAGTTGACCTGCAGCATTGGAATATACCTCATTGATGCTTTGGTCCTGGAGAATACAATACACTTTTCTGTAAATAAATGTTTGTGGGTGCCTTCAAGGAGCTGCAGTGCTGGACATATTCATAAATAGTGCACATATTTCAGCCATACTTTTCTTTTCATTTAGTGGATATTGAAAAAGAAATCAGAGGTTCCCAATGATGCCAGCAGTGAGAGGTGATGGCATGCGAGGGCTTGCTGTCTTCATATCAGATATCAGAAATTGTGAGTTTTCTTGCTTCCCTTTGTCTCATGTCACTCATTTGAATGCTTTTATTGCCTACTGGCATATAGCAGCTGGGTGGGCTGATTTAGGTTTTTCATTTCTATTTCCCTAACAATTTTGATTACTGAGGCTTTGAAGTTCCAAATTCCATATTGACTCATGTTTTAAGGTTTAGATATCCCTGAAACTTTATCATACCACACATGACCCAACCATTTCCTGGCAGACTAGGGTTATATTATCTGGCAGACTAGGGTTAGGGTTATATTAACTGTCTCAGTTAAGTAAAACCTTTTTTTCCCTCCTTCCCCAACCCCCAAGGCGAGGCAAGAGAAAAAAAAGGTTTTTTAGTAGTAAACTAACCCCGAGACAGGGTTAGTTTACTTGCTTTTAGTACCTTTGACTACCATCTCATCATAGGTTCACTAATTGTGTGGTAGTAAAGTAATAAATATGAGTGCATTTAGAAAATTTAATTTAATTGGCTCAATAAGATCAGGTAAGGGTTTTTTTTTCTTCTAATTTCTCAACCAGGGAAAGGATTAAAGAGATTAAAAATCTCCCTCTATACCAGTTATTTGTATTATTATGTCTTCTATATACCATAGCTTGCATCTTTTACCTCACTATCTGGTATTTCTTTCGTTTTTATGAATTTCTTTATTCTGTGTAATGTTTTAAACCACATTTTTCAAATGCTTTTATAATTTAATGGTGCTTTTATTGCTCTTTAAGCAATAGGCAAGAGCACCATGTTTTCTTGACTTGTGCAAAACATTAAGCCTCTTTCCTGCTTTCTCATCCACATCTCTCTCCCTCTCACCTACACACACATAGTTTCCAATTTTGTGTCTAACCTAACCATCATTCTTACTCCATTGTCAAGTACAATTATTTTTTATGGGACCAGTAGTAATCAGGAAAACCAGAATAGGAAATGATTGGGACTTGGTCTTTCAACGGCATGAATGGAGGGATCAATGGATCACTGAATCTGGCAGGTACCTTAAAGGTATGCTTGGGAGATAGTGGGACTGGGTTTTTTTAATTAGACAAAGAACCCATATGCATGGTCTACCAGGACCCAGTACCCACCTAAACAATAGATAATGAAGATTCCAAGAGCCTACTAATAGTAAAATAATTTGAAATGGATTTTTTAATTTTTGTGCTGCAGTGATACATGTGCAATTCGTTTCATCATCCAATCTCTCAATATTTATGTATGCAGTCCTTAGTAATAATTACATTCAATCTCTCTAATTTACATAGGTAAGAGCAAGGAAGCAGAGATCAAGAGGATAAACAAAGAGTTGGCCAATATTCGAAGTAAATTCAAAGGAGACAAGACCTTGGATGGTTATCAGAAGAAGAAGTATGTGTGCAAGCTGCTCTTCATCTTCCTCCTTGGCCATGATATTGATTTTGGCCATATGGAGGCAGTGAATTTGCTGTCTTCAAATAAATATACTGAAAAACAAATAGTAAGCACCAAAACTCAACTTAATCTGATGAATGGGCTTATGGATGCCAATGATCAGAACATTTGATATATTAATCTTTCCTTGCTTTCAGGGATACTTATTCATTTCTGTGCTTGTGGATAGCACAAGTGACTTGATGAAACTCATCATCCAGAGCATCAAGAATGACCTCTCTTCCAGGTTTGTGTGTTATAATTTCAACTAATTCTTTGAGACTACAGGAAAAGGAAGGTTCTCTTATGCCCCCATAGAAACCCTGTGCATGTCAATCTGGCTCTTCAGTGCATTGCCAACATTGGAAGCAAGGAAATGGCTGATTCCTTTGGTAATGAGATCCCCAAACTTCTTGTCTCTGGGTAAGGATTCCATCTCAAATGGTGTTTCAGTGACCAGGTTATGAACCCTTTTAATATTGCTGAAATTTGACATTTCCAGAGATACAATGGACACAGTGAAGCAGTCAGCTGCCCTCTGCCTATTACGTCTATTCAGGACCCAACCTGATGTGATCCCTAGTGGAGAGTGGACTTCCCGTATTATCCATTTGCTGAATGATCAGCACATGGGTGTTGTAACAGCTGCCTGCAGTCTTATTGATGCATTAGTAAAAAGAAATCCTGATGAATATAAGGGTTGCATCAGCTTGGCAGTTTCCAGGCTCAGTCGAGTGGGTTGATGTATTTTATGTTTGAGATGCTGATAGGTGCAACTTGAAATTGCTGTCAGTGTCAACAAATTTTCTTTCCTCCAGATTGTCACTGCCAGCTATACAGACCTGCAGGATTACACCTATTACTTTGTCCCAGCTCCATGGTTGTCAGTGAAGCTCCTTCGACTACTCCAAAATTATCCCCCACCAGGTACAGGCAAGATATCTAGCTGGTTTTTCTTTGCATAATTGCTAGTTAAGTAATAAATGACATGGAAAACTGGATGTACCATGCCTCTCCTTGCAGACGACCCAGGGGTGAAGGGTCGTTTGAATGAATGCCTCGAGACCATTTTGAACAAAGCACAAGAGCCACCAAAGTCCAAGAAAGTGCAGCATTCTAATGCTAAGAATTCCGTGCTGTTTGAAGCCATCAGCCTTATCATTCACTCAGACAGGTGGGATCAGATCTCATATTAATCCTGTTTTTATGGGAAATTACACTATACTTATGTTGTTATGACCTTACACTATCGGGTTGATCATTTTGAATTTTTGATGTAGTGAACCAAATCTGCTGGTGAGAGCTTGCAACCAATTGGGTTCATTCCTCTCTCATCGTGAGACAAATCTTCGCTATCTAGCCTTGGAAAGCATGTGTCTTCTTGCCACCTCTGAACTCTCTCATGAGGCTGTCAAGAAACATCAGGAAACTGTCATCAATGCTCTCAAAGTATGCCATGGCTTCAATCAATGTTCTGCTATCCTTGCTGTTTTCTAATGCTCATATATTTTTTTGTTAGATGAAACTCCCTGCCTACTTATTGTTTGTTTTTTTTAGACGGAAAGAGATGTCTCAGTGAGACAGAGGGCAGTAGATCTCCTCTATGCCATGTGTGATAAAACAAATGCAGAGGAAATTGTTCAAGAAATGCTGCACTACCTTGAAACAGCTGACTACTCCATCAGAGAAGAAATGGTGAGTTTCTGGAAATCATTCAAATGGCAGAAAAGGTGTACTTTTCTTGGCTGTCAGTTGTATTTTATGTTATTTTTCTCTTTTCTTACCAATTTTGAACATTTTTTTCATATCTCCAAGGACAACATCAGATGAGTGTCAAATATAATGTCTCTTCATATGAAACTAACATCAGGCCCAACTTGGGCAAAGAAGTTGACTTGAATTTAAACCTTCAGATTTGGATTCAGATTCAGACTGGAATTTTCTCATTTGAATCTGATCAGACTCAGCTCTACTTGATATCTCTTATTGGGTAAATTGGGGTTATTTGGAATACTTTTTTGGTCTTTGATTTTCATCTGGTGGTGGCATAAATTCATTAGATGACCATTGTATGAGGGCTGTTCATTCAATTCTAAGGCCTGCTGATGAATTGCTTAGGAAGGAGCAGTGCCTATCCAACTGTGAACTGTTGTCAATGCATCAATGCTTCTTCAGTACAAGCAACCATCTCTAGTGAGATGAATGTCAATGGTTGGCCTGAGTGTGGGTCATTTGCATCTGACTGGCATCCTTCCCTAAAGTGCCAATGCCATCTAAACACTCTTGCCTTTGATGATCTCCATTTGCTAGAGCCATTTTGGCTAGTTTCAGACAAATTCTATTTGTGCCTCAAGCAATAGTGAATCACACAATGATATTCAATCTCCAAGGAAGCATCCATTGCAATGAAGAGCAAAAACATGCATTCACAAGTTTAGATCTGGTACAACATTGCACTGTAGTATTTAGTCATCAACATGCAGACACCAATGTCAGGATTGAATGCTGTCATTCTGTTCTGTGCTATTGTTATAGCATGACACATTACAGGCTGTAGTCCTGGTCTTAGAGAATTAAATGAACAATCCCTTGTAATTATAATCTCCTTACATTTGATTCTTGTTAAGATAATGACTTACAGATTGGGTGCAGATATGTTTATGTGGAGTAAAAAAAAATGACATCAGTAAGGGCATTTGAGTGACTCGAATAGCCCCATCCATAAGAATCTTTCAGATGGATTCCTTGATGTTCTACTGTGGCTGTATGAGTGATGTATATAGTATGGAAAGGTTCCAAGCAACTAGGTTAGCCAATTTGGGCTGCTATTGGACATAAAAAGACTGGTGTTCCATTGACCTTTAATTTATTTCAGTAAAGAAGCATTCTTTTCATAACAGAGAACACCATTACCTTCTTTCTATCTACTGGTACTTCCAGAAGACTATTGCTCTGTCAAGATCTTTTGTGTACTTTTCTTCTTTCCCTTGTAGTATCACATCATCACTGCAAATGATGTTGATGGCTTGAATTTGTTCTGGGTAAACATGAATTGGCCATTAAGTTTTTTAGGAATACTCAGCAAGGAGAATAGGCTCAAGAATATACAGTTCTTCAAGAATGGCTATGGCAACTTCCTTTCTTCTCAGAATGTTTGACCCAACAGCCCCTCCTTACCCTGTAGTTGTGGCCATTTTGATGAGTATGGCATCCTGCAAGGTTTTCCAAAACCATATCAGTCATCAGCTGTCTTTTTTTTGTATATTTTTTTTAGCGGTAGAACTTAACTTTTTTTTTTATTCACATTCCTTGACTTCTCTTCATTACACATTCAGGTGCTGAAAGTGGCAATCTTGGCTGAGAAATATGCAGCTGACTACACATGGTATGTGGATGTGATCCTCAACTTGATTCGGATTGCTGGAGATTATGTGAGTGAGGAAGTATGGTACAGAGTCATCCAAATTGTAGTAAACAGGGAAGATGTTCAAGGCTATGCAGCGAAGACTGTTTTTGAGGTTGGTTCCTTTTGTTCCCATGGGGCATCCCCATTTGCTCTTCCTCACTGTCATGATTTGCACTTACCAATTGCACTCTTGTTTCCTTGACAGGCCCTTCAAGCCCCAGCTTGTCATGAAAACATGGTCAAAGTTGGTGGATATATCCTTGGAGAGTTTGGAAACCTCATTGCTGGGGATGCACGTTCCACTCCCATCATTCAATTTCGACTCCTTCATTCAAAGGTTTTGTCTTTTAAGGAAGTCTTAGTTCAGTCCTAATTGTTTATCAATCCTGTGAGACTCATTTCTCTTGTATCTTTCCAGTTCCACCTCTGCTCCCCTATGACTCGTGCTCTTCTTCTGTCAACATATGTGAAATTCATCAATCTCTTCTCAGAAATAAAGGGTGACATCCAAGAAGTGCTCAAAGCTGACACCAACATTCGCAGTGCTGATGCTGAACTCCAGCAAAGGGCATCTGAATACCTTAACCTAAGCCGAATGGTCTCTCAAGATGTACTGGTATGTTTTCCTAGGGAAAAGCTGTTTTTTTGTATGTGTCAAGAGGCTTCTTTGCTTGTTATGTAAAAGATGCTATATGCACAAGCTTTGGAGGGAATTTAAGTGATCGAGTCAGTACTTATGTATGGTGTCTCTGGTTCTGCTTTATTTGCACTACCTGCTGATAGATTCACTACTGTAATTAATTACTTTTTTCCTCCATTGCAGGCCACTGTTTTAGAAGAAATGCCTCCATTCCCAGAGAGGGAGAGTTCCATCTTGGCCAAGCTGAAAAAAAATCCTTGGAGACAGGGTGATACTGAGCATAAGGAATCCAAGATGCCTCCAGCCATCATGAACCATACAAATGATATCAAAGTGCAGTTTTGCTGATTCTGTTTTACCCAGTGGTACAGGCCCAAGAAATTCTGCATCTGACGTCTGTATCATAATGCTTGCTTTATATTACCAGGGTGGAGTTGCTGCAGATGATATCCTTGACTTCAAGGCATCAGCTCCTATTCCTGACAGACAGGGTGATCAGAATATACTTCATGATGTCTTCTCGAGCATTTCAAATGGACCTCAGGCTGCACATCTTCCTTCTACATCTCATGTGGATAATCTAAACAAGTAGGAATTGCTATGTCTTTCTTAATGTTCCTGTCATTTGTGTCTCCTCTGCAATTAGTTCCTTCACAATAGATTTGTGTGCAAGAATAATGGAGTCCTGTTTGAGAATGATATAATTCAGATTGGGATCAAGGCTGAGTTCAGACAAAATCTTGGAAGACTTGGAATCTTTTATGGCAATAAAACAACCATGCCCCTCCAGGTCAGTCATCTATCTTTTTTTCCTTTTTATATCTTGTTGAATAAAGGTGGAGAGAAGAAACAAAGGTTTTGTTGTTGATATATTTGCAGGGCTTCTCAACACAGATCTCTTGTAGTGGTAGCTTAGCCCTGAAGCTGATGGTTCAAGCAAAGCCAGTTGACCCAGTCATAGAAGCCGGTGCTCAGATTCAGCAACTTGTCAATGTGGAAAGCATTGATGATTTCAAAGGTACTGTTACAATTGGATGTTAGGTGAATGCAGGGTGTCCTGAATATGATTCTCCCTTGCAAGTATATAAAGACCAATATGGAAGAGATAGTTTATTGCTATTTAACACTTTCCAGATTATGGTTTCTGGGTGCAATATGCCCAGCAAATGACAGTTTTTCACCTATTTTACAAATTCTATAAATTCATCAAATGATAATAAATAACAAACTTTTTCTTCTTTGAATTGGAGCTTCCCCTACCAGCTGGTACTACATTCATAGCAATAAAAACATTAGAAAATTTGAACTTTTAAGCATCTAGTTGTCTGATGGGGAAAGGGGGAGAGCTGGCTATGCAGGCCTGTTGTCCAGAAAGTGTTAATGGTATTTCCTAAAGTGCATAAAGTTGCAAACCCTTTTCTTATTTTCATCCTCTTGTTGCTCTAAGGAAATGCATGTCTGAGCCTCCTAGACACAGTGCTGTTTTCTGCCTATATGCATTGGGACGAGATCAAGACCCAAAAAATAGATGGGTTTTGGCCCCAAAACTGAATCCAATAAAGAACAACATAATTAAAAAGGGTGTCCTTTGCTTAACTCGAAAGTACATTCTCATTCAAATGTAAATATCAGAAGTTAGGTTTGGTTATATGCCTAAATACTAGTATTAGCATGTTATTGAAGTTACTCATGTTCAAGTCATATTTTACCAAGTTTGGTTTTGGGGCCAAATGTGGACAAACTCCTTTGAACTTGAAGATTTTATGTAAACTTCATTTCTCATTTAAATGTCATTTCCCTCATGCCCATATCCCATGACTGATCTTACTATTATTTTGTCAAAGGTTCTTCTGTTACATCGCCTTGTTTTTTCCTTGCATACCAAAATGTCCATGAGATTATGTTAGGTGTGTGACCTGAACTATACCAAATTCCCAACAGAACATCCAGGGCTTGTGGTGACATTCATGTACAGTGCAGTGCAACAGAGGTTAGACCTCAAGCTTCCAGTTACCCTCAATAAGTTCTTTGAGCCAACAGAGATGAACTCTGAGTCCTTCTTCTCACGTTGGAAGATTCTCAGCACGTGAGTCATTTCATCTCTCTCCTGTCAGTCATCTTTTATAATGGGAGGAAGTCAAATTCATTGATATCTCTGATTTCGATATGTTCTTCAGGCCATCCCAAGAATCCCAACACATTTTCAAGGCAACAAAACCTATGGATCCTGAAGCAACAGCCAATAAATTGACAGGGTTTGGGATGCAGTTGCTTCCAAATATCGACCCAAATCCAGACAATTTTGTGTGTGCAGGAATTATTCATTCTCGAAACCAGCAAGTTGGCTGCCTCCTGCGACTTGAACCCAACAAACAGGCTCAGGTGGGCTCCCTCTCAATGTCTTATTTCTGTTTTTGCTTTGAAACTTTATTAATTCTTCGTTTTTCATGATCCCAGATGTATCGGCTGACAATTCGTGCCAGCAAAGACACGGTTGCTGGGAGTTTATTGGAACTCCTCTATCCTGAGTTCTGATTTGATGGGCTTCACATGGTTAAGTCCAGTGACTGACATATTCATACCATCACAGACTATATCCCTCTCGTATTTGTCTCATCTCTGCGGTGTTTCTGTATTTCTGCTCTGGTGATACCCAAGAGGAGAGAGAGGTGAATGCTATGCTGCACATTGTCATGACTGCAATTCTTGCTTGTGATTCTGCCCCAGCATATGCTTAATATCAGTGAAAGGAACCCTGCTTCTCTCTCTCTCTTTCTTTCTTGCTCTCTATTGGCTGTCTATTGCCCAGGCATTCCAGTCGTGAAATTCAAAACTGTGTCTGGTGATGTTTGTAGGAATCGTAATACTGTGCCTCATTCTATGTTTTGTTCTTGAATTAATTTTTTTTTCTTCACTCAGCTCATGCATGAGATCTGAACATGGCATAAGTAGGCAGAAAGTGGTTCTTACTGAATGTGCTTAAGAGACTGTCATAATTACACTAGTTGGATTGGACCCTCTTCTCACATTAGGTGGTACCAAATGTATGAGTGAGAGAGAAGGGGTGTTTAATTCTACCTATAGCAAGGTAGAACATCATTCTATGTTCATTATTGAAGTGTATGGTATGATACTCAAGGAAGCTTAGGGCTCCACTTTTATTTTCATGTCATGAGAGGAATTCTTTGAAAATTTTTTGACATTTCTCTAGAAGTTAGCATCTGCATTCCATATAGTGTGATGTTCCCAGATAATTGCTAGAAACTCATGTTATGTAAACCTCACATGATGATGGAAGTGGAACCCAAAGCCTCCAGGAGCTCTAGTCTCGTCATTTCCTGGTTATTTTCCTTGGTTGACCTTTTTTTCTTTCAAGAAATTTACTTCATCTCCAGTGAGTTAATAGTGGCTCCATACTATGAAAAAAAGGAGCAAAAATTGGTCTATTCTTATTCCATGCATGCAATAGAAGCTCATAATCTCTCTCTATTATCAAAACCCCTGATTTTGTTTAGCAGAGTATTTCATTTATCAAAGGAAAAATTGCATCATGTTCCAATGTTTTGTAGCATATCGTTCTTCTGTTTTTCTTGTTGATTTCTTGAGAGTTAGATATTTGAAGAAGAGTTTCCTGCCCATATTAAATTGTGAGTTTATTGTATTGAATGAAGAAGAAAGAAGTGGCATGATGGAGGAAAGAGCAATTATTAACCCTCATCCGGGCAAGCTTTTTTACAATCTATTCCGGGCAAGGTGAGTCTGTCAGACTCATGTAAAATAAGGCCGTTTGCTGCGGTTACGGTATGTATTCTTATAAATAACAGTACTGTAACTAAAATAATACAGACAATTTATTCAATGGTCCTGATAGTTTAAAAAAATAATGACAGTGATAGACCGAAATATGTCGTAGTGAGTCCAGCGGACTCACCTTGCCCGGATTAGGGTTAAAGAGCTCAAGAGGAGTCAAATGGTGGTTCTGTCTCCAATAGGAACTTGGAAAACTAAATGTGTCAGTACTTCAGTTCTAACTTCCCTTGAGATGTGCTGCTTTGAAGTTAGTTCCCTGGGGGAAGGATCCCTAGGGTTTAAGCAGCTATCTTTGGTCCTGATTGAGCTAGGAAAGTGTTTATGAGTTCAAATTGAAGCTGAATTTGAATTTCCGAATATCTTTGTTACAGAAAAGGATAAATGTTCAAAAATGTGAAAAACGGGATCAACATTAAAATATCAGACAGCAGGAAAAAGGCTAATACATTAAAAAATTTGAAAATGCAATGCTGGCCAATAGCAATGAAAAGAGCAACATTTCAATGTATTACTTTGTTTCATAGAAGATAAAAACCTGAAACTAGTGTCAAATGAAAGCTCTCACCAACCTCTTTCTCTTGATGTACGATCCATCCTTTGAATCAAATCTGTGCAGATATGGACATGGACCTTTTTTAAAAATGTTATACTCAAATATGTCAACAATTCGACTTCTGGTGACAACCATTACCCAACAGTAACCTTTGGCACCATTTATTACTTTGTATCAAGTACCTGCAAAGTAAAGTATGAAAAGTTACTAGACTTCTCCAAAATACTTTTATTTTACAAAATAATACGTATTAATTGATACTACTGAACCCAGGAAAATGAGACTGCCGACACTGCAGTAAAAGACAAAAGCTCTCGTAAATGTTTGTTTCTATACCTAATATGAAATCGGAGAGAGTATAACTTACAGGAATATAGTAACACTTCATTTAAAGCAGCATGTTTCATTCAGTTTCGCTTGAGCAGCCCACCATAAGGAGAAGATGACAGCTTTCAAGGATGGCAGAGAACTTGTGAAGGTGACATGTGAGTGCATTATGGAAGACAGACGTCAATCAGTCGAGTCGAAATTGCGCAACGTTCAGGCATTTATGTGAGATCTACTTACGAAATTTTTTGGTACCATCAGCCATCGGCAGGTTTGCAAGCTGCCGGTGTCGATTCGCGAAGGAAAATGCGAGGGTCGCTCGGAAGGTAATGCACATTAATTTTTTTCTCACTCTGCATTGAAGATAATTACATGAAATTAACAAGTATTGTCCATCAGGGCTTTGCGATAAACTACCTATTTTTCAACATAGTCACCATTACAGGCAATGCTCTTTTCCCAACGTTTTACAAGGGCATAAATTCCATCCTGATAGAAGCTCTCGCCTTGGTGACGAAGTCACCTTCAAACTGCATTCTTCACATCATCATTCTCAAAGTGATGTTCTCTGTGGTCGTCATTCAAGGGTCCGAAGAGGATGTAGTCGGACGGCGCCAGGTCCGAAACATCAATTGGCATAGCACCCAAGTGATGATACGCCTATCTTTCAACCACTTTCTTGATGCTCTCATCAGTGATGGCAGTGATGGGTCGTCCCGATCGCGCCTTGTTTTTAACCCTCGTGTCTCCAGATAAGAAGCGACTCACCCATCGTCTGACAACGCTGTCATCAACGCAGGCGTCACCATAAGAAACTTTCCAGAGACAGTGGATATCCGCAGGCTTTACACCCTCCCAACCAAGGAATTCAATTACCGCTCTCTGCTTCTCACACACCTGAAGTGTGGCAGCCATTTTGAACGTGTTTCCTGCTGGAGTCGCCCAGCAGATATTTGTCAAACTTGCGAATTTTTGGTGGGAAAGTTCATCATTTGCGCAATCTTAAATCGGACCTAGCGTGAATACATTTAGTTTAAAAAATTATTGTGCATTACTTTCCGAGCGACCCTCGTAATAAAAAAAAAACCACGTGAACGGGGCTCGATAAATGATTCTCAACGGCAATATGGAAAATATAGGGCTTCCCTGAGGCATCTGTCGATGTATCGATGTCATTTCCGATAGTTGGCGGCGTTATTACCCTTCGCGAAGGTCACACCTCACCATTCCTCCGATCACAGACAAAAGATGATGGAAGACGAAAAGAGGTCCGCGCCCCGATCGAGGCAAGAAGCAGGTTACTCGGGTCGAAATCAAACCGCCCGATCACGACGAGGAAAGTCTGAATCCATCGGTGCAATATCGACAGTTCAGGTCGATATATCGATGTTTTCAAAACAGTCATCGTGACAACCCTTTAAAAAAAAATTGAAGATGGCTTCCTAATAGGCCTTTTAAAAATAAATATTTGATGTGGTTACTCTCTCTTTCTACGGTATACATGTCACAATCGACACCGGCCGACAGCATTAGATTAAAATCGGCCATTGCTGAATATGGCAACCATTACAGCCCTATTAAATTCCCAAGGGGCAAATTGCTTCGCACATCTCTCGAGATGATTCGTACATAGTATATAGAACCCCTCTTGCGATGAGACGGCAGGAGGAAGTACGAAACATGCGATGCGTACGCATTATTTGGAACCTATCTAGTATTTTGGCCTAGCGCGCAGCAATTTGCTGGTATGAAAGTCAATGGGAAACACTACATGGTTTCCAGGTTTTATGCATGTTGCTAGCCAAGAATGTACCTTTTCACATATCCTCATAGTCCATGTGTGTGAACATGCATGTGGATGCTAGTTCAATTTATAGGCAAGTATTTAGGAAAATGGCAATGAAAACAAGTTAAATTTCCCAAGTTTTCCAAATTGTGCAAATGTTCACAGATTTCTTCCTATGAGAATGATGATGAATCCTACTTAGTATGGAAGTTACACAAGAGGGTACAACCCTTTGAAGTGGGCTTTTACTTGGCAAGTTGAAAATTGGAGAAACACACCAGTGATGCAAAAGTGCAAAATCACACAATTTTCCAGATTAAATACCTCAAGTGTGTAACCGTGTACTGGCAGATTCAGTATCCCATTTTACTCAGCTATCACTCCATTCCACTGGCATAGACACTCCACAGTGAACTGTGGAACGTCTTAGTATTGGCCCTATTCTGGGTTCAAATATGAGCAACCCTGCAACAACACTTGTAATGCGTGCATGTAATTATTGTGTTCTTGTATTGCAGTACAGGTATGACGTACTTTGTACTTAAACGATTACGGCCACCTCCGAGTTGTTCCGTTGATTGCAAATCCTGGACACACTAGCATCAAAGGAAGTTATTTAGCGTAATAACAGTGGCGGATCCGTAAAAGTGCTGAGGGTACATATTCCAAGGCAACCCAAGTTGCAATCGTAATTTCATAGTTTGGTTCCAAGAACCGAACCAGTGAGGAAGGAGAAGGGGGACACACAGCACATCCATTCCTTACAAGCTTTTCTTGTTCTTTTTGAAATATGGGGGAAATGTCGCGAAAGTTTTTATCTCATTTCACTATTGTCTAATTTGGTTGACATAACCTTGATATAAATCGTTGTGGCAGGAAGCCCTTGTGCAATATGAGAACATGACTGCAAGAGCAAAAAGTATTCTTAGAGCGGTATGTTGGTTCTAGGTGTCTATTCCTCAAAGAGTGTATGGCTTTTTATTTTAATTAGTGAGAAAAATTCTTTCAGTAAAAAATTGAAATAAAACTCGTGCCATACAACTCTACGGGAATATAATACGTTTTCTCACATTTTCACGTAGCAATTGCTACATGAAATTTGTGAGAAAATTTAATAACATTAAGGTTACAATGTCCAATGAATTAGGCAACGGTTCCCAAATTGGAGGTACAGTAGCGAGAATTCTCTCATTAAAAAAGTATGATATCCGCACATATGAAAATATGCAGAAAGATCAACGGTCACTGCCAAGACAAGCCGCACACATCTCACTCGCTTCGAATCAAGAAAACACTAGAGTGAGTTTTTTACTTTTGACATTCTTTTTAATTCCTCGTTCCGAATCGCGGTGGGTTGCAACATTTTTTTTCAAAAGTTGGCCGAGAAGTAGCGATTCAATAAAGTTTGGGATCTGCTGATTTAAGGGACTGAAGACCGGTTCGACACATTCCCTTCCCCCCGATATATGGTATTATTTAACTTACTGCGTTTCGCACAAAGTGAAGTGCCACCTTGAAAAGAAAAGAGCAACTTTGGGCGGGGTGCCCTTTTCCCTATGGCACCGTTAGTCACGACGGAGCGTGGGAAGCCCGAACTTATCTCACAAAAATATG